CGATCGATTCCGTGTTTAGTGTGGCTCCAACACGAACGGTACGCGCTCAAGAGCCCGACGCCGGTGCGCATTTTTTGAGCTGCAGATGCCCGTGCTGCTGGCGTCGACGGTCAAAAGGCCGATGGCTCCAAGGCCATATCGTGCACCTCGACACATTGGATCGGCTCGGGAAGGAACTCATCCACCACCCGAGCGAGATGCACTTGTCGATCCTCGAAGGCCGCAACTTGCGCTCGTACATGATGCGCAACGTTCTCGACCCGTACGTTGTGCTGACGTGCGGCAGCTTCAAGCACATGACGTCCATCAAGCGCCATACGCTCAACCCGCTCTGGAACGAGCACCTGATCTTTCCACTGCATGAAAAGGAAGTGTTCAAATCCGAGGCGAAGCCCGAGACAATCAAGCTCGTCGTGTACAACCACGACACACTTTCGCTGGGCGAGTGCATTGGCGAAGGCGAGATCGACCTCAGCGCGCACCGCGACGGGACCAAGGCCAAGATCTGGGTGTCGCTGACGCAGAAGAAGAAGCTCAACATGGAAATGCTGGGCAGCGCCGTGCATAAAATGGCGATGGGCGACCCGCTCGAGCCGCAGATCTGCGTCGAGCTCCAATGGATCGACACGCGACTGCCCACGAGCGTCCACGTGCAAGTGGACGCGGATGGCGCCGGCGCGCCACCCCGCGTCCTCAACCGCAAGTTTTGCGACAAACGCCTCTGCTACGGCATCCAGCACGACGAGATCCTCGAAGGCCGCATCTTCAACGCCACCGACATGTAGTCTTTTTATGCCTCCTGCGTGTAAACAAAAAATGTATCTGTTGTATATCAGCTAAATTTAAAGCCGACCCTTCGGTTGTATACATGGCAATGCAATACCTCATGCATCGGTGATCTTCTATTACTACTTTGCGGCACGGTACCGGCCTCGATTGAAGCTGCAGAAGAGACAGTGGTCGACTGTGGGCCGACTGGGCGCTGTCACGGAACTCGGCCCCTTTGTGCCTTGTAAGTCGTAAAAGATAAAACAATGAGATCTGCGGCGGTTGTTTGCTTGTGGAGTAGAACCACATATATATATATGAACGTGTTTCGCGTTATCTTCGTTGTTACAAAGAGTTCTTAGAGACTAGCAACCTCCTTCTTCTTCATTCGCTCACCGGGCCGTCATATGTAGCGACTATGGACGCTGTCCAGGTCAGCGAGTGTTCGTGCGTCAGCGACTGGATCGACGTTGACAATGACGTAAGCGCCACACGCTTGCGCTCAGCATATCAATCGTCATGACGTTATTTTGCATTGGATCGCGCCGGCGATCTGCACCGTGATATCACCGCATTTTCACGTAAATGACCGTCATTTCTCGAGCGCTGACGTCATTTATACGTACAATGGTTCTCGGCAAGGACGATGCAGGGCATCATAATGAAGGAGGACGGAACACACCGATCCAGGTGCATGTACAGGACGTGTACATGCTCTTTCGGTCGCGCGAGGCGAGATCGGCGACATCGACCGCGTCCGCGATGGCGTCGGCGACGCCTCTGCCGTGCTGACCATTCCGTCCCTTCTCCAAGGCCTTGCATTCATCGAGGGTCACATGATCAACGAGACAATGGCATGGGGTGTATTGATAGTATTGTGAAAGAAAAGCAAAGAGCCGCTAGCTACATGGTTATTTCGATGGTGTTCCGTGTCGACGGCGGCTACGGCTTGGTCGACGATCGCGCTTCGTTGGCTTTGAACGAGTCGCGGGGGCCGTGCATCGACTGGGTGTCGCTGAGGCGCCGCCCGGTGCTGAGCTGGTCGACGCGCAGCGTTGCGATTTCGCGGACGCTGGCCCCGGTGCTCGTTTGGTGTGTCGTCGCCTGTTTGTCGTCGGGCGCAGAGAAGGCAAACCCCTTGTAGCTGCGCATCTCGAGGTTGCGGACGCCCGCCTTCTCATCACCCTCGTTGTCGACGTACGACTGCGACGCGAGACCCTTGCGGCTCGAAAAGTCCGTGATGCGCTGGTCGACCTTCTTGAGCGCGCTGCGTTCGCGCAAGATGTTGGCTTCCGTCGGCCAGTACATACGGTAAATGCTACACCACAATGTAGGCAAGACAACATGATGCGAGACGATGTACCTTGTCAGGGACACATCGACAAGGATGCCTGCAACCGGAATGAGGAAGAAGACGGCCCAGTAGAGATCCCTAGCATGTATATCATCATGATACACCGCTCATCTCAGCCAGACGTACGCGCCGAGCATGACAGGGGTCACGCCAAACATGTCCGTGCCAAGGAATGTCATGTGTGGGTACACGAGGAGGAAGAAGAAGAAGAGGAGGATGCTAAAGGCGAGGACCGC